TATATATATATATATATATCAAGCATAGCTCATCAACGAAAAGTCCCTTTATATCAGTTGTATGAAAAATAGTGTCTCTGGCGGGATTCGAACATGCAACCTCTCTATATATATATATAGTATATATATGGCCTAGTATATATAATATATAATATTTGTATTACTTCATTTGTAATTTGAGTACTGTAGTAACTTCTGATTTTAATCGAAAGAATATTCAATACCGTTATAAACTATGTTCACCATCAAAACTCAAATTTATTGACGAAATATAACTAGTAAAAACAGAACATCACAGGTGGCCTGCTGTGTCGAAAACAATATTATTCAAGCAAATCGTTGAATAAGAATATACTATAATGGTGTATAGTAGCTTAAAACGCCAATGGCTATTATATTACATGCTTAAGTACTATACGAGTATTGATTTTTTCTAACACTTGAATTGTGTTCAATTCTATACTAATAAGTTTACAGAGATACTCGACCGGTGCACGGCAAATATTACTAACTTATAAGCTCGATTTCCTCTTATTTTAACTAACCTCGAATTTAAAGAAAAACAACTTACTATTTGTTAGTGGATAAATTTCTCTACTCTGGATTTTTGGTGTACGCAGAGAACGATATGCAAATTAGACTGAATATAGCGACTCGTTAATGCCCCGGTACTCACTGGTTTTATCGAAGCGAAGCATACTTTCCAAAAGGCCACGGCTTAAACCCCATGTTGGCGGAGGAATAAGTCCTTCATAATCGTATAATTAATTTCGTACAAATTATAATTAATGTTGGTGATCGTAAAACGTATACCTAAGGAGATTTATTGAGCAATTAACTGAATGAACGGTGGTAGACGATAGTTAATATTGTTAGTTAACAAATTATAATTTCTTTTGAAGAAAACGCGAATATATATACCGATACAAATGCCTACGATTTACCATCAAAATTCATCCAAACTTGTAACACAAAATTTACACAAATGTTAATTAATTCAAACGACTGCGTTTTAGATTTTGTAAAATGTAAATTAGTTTAGTAAAAGTTATAGGATGAAAGGTCATTTCTATCTTGCCAAAAAAAAAAAATTGGACGAGTAAATTATAATAAAAAATTAAATTGAATTGAAAAAAGCTGTTGGGTTAGAGGTTAAAAAATTAACTATGACCACACACTAAGAATTATTACATTAGATATAACTTTAATAATTTTAATTGTTGAAACTTAATTTACTCTTATAATAATAGGCTAAATCTATCATTAATCATAACATTTATTCTTGTTGATATAATATTATGGTTGATGTGTTCTTCATTTTCTACCTGATTAAATGTATATTTGGATCTATTTTTCTTGCGATGGCAATGCTGCTAATCCTATTCCCTGAAGTACATCGCTCGCAAAATTGCTGCATAATGCAAATTACTAGTACTACTGCCACCAGTTATCCTATCGACATCATCTATATATCAATCATCGACTGTGACTGTCATCTCACCAGAAATACGCACGTGTGTACGTACGTTTACGCTGTCGATATGTGGATCTCTTAGACTTTGCGGAAAGGCCCATTTTCCGCACTCTAGTGATTACTTCGTCAAAAGTCACGATCTTTTATTAATACCTTGCTTCTGTGCGACATTAATTATATATGAATATTAATCAGTTAATATTGTATTGTGTTAATTTAGTGTATTATGATATCAAAAAACATACCTTTAGCTAATTAAATTCATTATAGGCAAATTTTTGAGGTGTGGTCAAGTTAGTGACTTGGGACGAAGAAGCTTCGACAAATGTGAATTTGTTGAAACAAGACCCTGGGATTTTGTAGTCTAAGTGCAGTTAACCACAAAAATTGCACTCCTAATATGACATTATTATTTTGTTCAATTTCGTTGTCATATTGATTATGTTAAGCAAAATGAATAAAATTCAACACTTGAACTGCGTTAATTAAAGTATTCAATCGAAAATTACGAGTACTGTAAGCATTTTCTCGCCAAGAAACGCATAAATAGGCTATAGTAATAATAATTAAAAAATTCGATATTCTTTGCATAACCCTTAAATTGGCTGGTATTCACGTTGAGGATTTTCGTATTGAAGTTTTAATCAGCGAAAACTGAATTTTGTTTCATTAAAATTTAACATTTAGGCCTAATATATTCAAAGCGTCTAATAACATCATTTGTTAGGGTTTTCGATGTTTACATATAGGCCTATATCAGCAATTCCATTGTAACGAGTAGGTAAGTAATAGCAACGGGATGGTCCCTCTGTCTCTCCCCCTTAAACGTAATTTATTTTCTTTAACAGGCTTATGTTTAACTTTGTTCATTCTCAACGCTGGAACAATAGTGTATAATTATTTCTATCTCAAAATTTACCAAGTAAAGATTGAAGAATCGTAAATGTAAAGGTATTAATGGTGTGAGCCATATTGTTTTGAACGAATACCACCTGCCCCCACCGGAGCATTAGTCCACCTCATTATCATGCATGCATCAGTTTGAATAATAAATTAAGATCGATAATTTCATTACATATTTTGCTTAACTATACTGACTATATTTATAGGCCTATAACCGTACAGTGGCTATATAGAAGTCTTGAAATCGGGGTGCTGATGGGGGGGGGGGAAGACGCGAAAGTGAAGTGAAGGGCTCAATGATCCGTTGAGGGGTGCTAACTCGCAAAAGAAGCTGATTTTTAACTACTGGCAAGTGATTTTGAGGGGCGAAGACAGGGTGGGGGCGCGAATAATTTTTGAAGGGGAATGTGCACCCCCTTCCCGTGCACCCCTTGATACGCCACTGATAACCGACGTAGGCCTCATTGTTTATCCAAAAATAATATTTAAAACATTTTGCTGCCTTGACCAAAAATATTCCGATAAATCGGCCTACTACAATGGTATCGGCTTAAACTGTCTTTTCATCGGTTTTCTAAATTCGAGAAACTTATTAAAGGTGCTTACTTCAACATAAACTTGTGTAAATGTCATATGATACCAGTTGAAACAATTTTTAAGTTGACCAGACAATTGTGTAATATTAATTCATAATTAAAATCACGCAAAATCTTTTGGGAAATACTGCGTACGATTGACCGGTCATTCGTGTGAAACGTCTTCTTATGACCTCCAGTGTGCGGACAAACCGATGAAGTATGAGTCCTCCCCCCAATCCATGTCTCCCAGGAAAAACACTAGAGCACACGCATAATTATTAATATTCTGACCGCTACCCTATTTTCCATTCGCAACTGAATGAATAACCTATCTATATTTAATTTATATATTTTTTAAACTTACATAAAAGTGGAAACTAATACTGTATTTTATAGGATCAGGGTCTAATTGGGTCGTCCTGAATATATTCTTGTTTTTTATGTTGTTATCTTTTTGGATGCAATATCATCTTTAACTATTGTTGTATCGTTATAGCGGTAAGTAGATCTAAATAAAAAACAAACAGAGCTATATTATCAAACACAAGAATGTTTTGCCTCAAATAGCTTTGGGGTCCGAACTTTCATATGCTTTAACTGGCTAACATGGTCCAGTCGTTAGGAGGGAACACCCACATTTTCATACGGCTGGTCCTTCGTACCATTGTTCGCTGGTCCTTCGTACCATTGTTCGCATAAAATTATGTTTTCTCCTAAATATCACCCAGTCTTTATTGCACCTCATTACACCCCCTCACCCACATTTGTTATTGACCCTGTATCAGAAAGTACTAAAATTTTATATACCGCACATTAAATAAAATATATAAATTAATATCGTAGCATGACATATGTCACTAGAACTTCACATGTGTCACTTAAGCCGTCTCTTGTTTTGGCATCTGTCAGACCATGGACCTCCATGGTCAGATTGTCTTTGTCTACAATTCGAATAGGCCTACATTTCTTGTTATTAAATCTTAACGCATCAGGGCATCATCCAAACAATAAAGTGACATGGTTTAATTATTCCATGGGTGAGACGATAAAGAATCAAGAACACTCATGTTATTAAATTCAAAAATGTTCTTGGAAGAACAAAAGAATATACCATCAATTTAATTTCTCAATGAATTCATGACTTCTCTTAACGGTTTATAGTTACACATCGAATGAATGTATTATTGATACAGTCGCCCGTGTCAATAATTTCATCAATGAAATGTCTGCTATAATACAAACGCTTATTTACCACCTGTTCACAATATTATCGGCTATACCCGCACTTCAAAAACTACTAGGCATATTCATATCGATAGTATGGGTAGAAAATTGCATAAAAATCCATTACTTGAATATTATGCGCATACATAATTAAGTGCACGTTCACACTCGTCATTCGGTTTACTTACCCCTGGGAGAGTTTTCTTTTCGTGGAGTTCAGACTGAGCTCCAAGTGCGCTTTCTCTGTCACAATATGTCAAGAAGGCGCAACCTAAAACACAATCAAACCAAATATTTCCATCCATTTATTTATTTAGTTAGTTTCTGCGAATTATATTTACATAAATAATGCAATTGCATAAAGCGTGAACCATTAACATTGCATTGTTGACATTTAAGTAAACAATGAATATGTAAACAATAAACATAGGCTATAGGATGGATAATATTCTGAAAGAAATTTATATTTATATAATATATATTACATAATTATAAACAAAATGTTTTGTAACAACAATATTAAGATAAATAGATGCAGATCTTACCTTTGTGCATGCCAGTGTATCGGTCCCTTAAAACAGTTAGTTCATAGATGCGCCCGTACTCCTCAAAAATTGGACGAAGATCCTTCTCTTCCAAAGTCCTTGGAATCTGCCCAACAAATAATTTAATAGCATCATGATTTTTCATAGGAATGGTGTGCATTGGTGCCTTGATGGGATTACCGTGGACGACGTGATGATCACCATTTAGTTGTACTGTGGCCATATTCGTCATGATATTGTTGTATATAGAGAGACTTGAAGAAATAGAGGAGAGTTATGAAGATTGACCGAACTGGCGTATGCGGGCAGACTCAATGAAGCGGGCACGCTTCAACGCTAAAGATCTCTATTGTAAAGACAAGATGTATTTAAATTTATTCAGGTATTGCTGGCCCAATTATGCTAATGGCTGAGAAATCCCGGTGGGATGGGCTAAGATCTACTAAGACAAACAATAGGCACGCGACTTCTCGGATACAAAGGGGGAGCTAGACGACTAAGAATCATCTCGGGCGCGTAATGCGTTTTGTGTTTGTTCACTACAAAATTCGCACAAAGAGAGAAGGTGATTCTTGTTGGGTCTTTTGTTCGCGTGACATAATTAAGTTGGAACAATTGGCACGCGAGTAGGTTAATTATTATGAGGCGAAATCATGTTATTGACAAACTCATTGACAGTCTTTGTTTCATGTTCTTACCGATGTCAACACATATGCCTAATAATAAACAAGATAGGAATAGCAAACAAAGAAGAAAAGTTACGGTAACACAAAGAACAGGATTATTTCGTCATTCAAACTTGTCACTGTCAACTCTAGATGACAGTTATTATTAAAACTTGAAAAAAGATGAACAAATCTGAATGATTTTCTGTGGATAACGTTACTTACTAGGCCTAATTCAAAAATGCTTTTAAAAGCATTTTTACTTAAATAGCCTTTTGTATTGGAAAAGTAACTATATACTGTATATAATATCTATAGGCCTGTGTGTATCTTTCATTTTTTTTGTACAAATTGTATAGATAGGCCTATTTTTTTAATAGTTTTTGGTGGGAGCATGCTCAGGTAATTCGGGCGTATTCTTCCTACTTTAGGGTTGCACTGGGTCCTCAGACAGAATTCCAAAAGCTTTGTTCCGATATTATTAAATCAACAACTTAAATTAAATCAAACGATTCACTTAATTTCACTCTTATCTTCTATCACAAGTAACCCTGACTCAATTACGCAAGAGATGATGTCAATTGTACATTACTACCTGGTGGTATCCGTATTTTTACCATTGGTATTAATAATAATAAACAGTCATAAACTCACTACAATCTTTTTTAAGAAACGCGGGGGAGAAAAAGAGGGAAACAGATAGGCCTATACCTGGAATCAATAAGAAAAAAAAATTCTGATATGGAATTACGAGTGTTAGGCATTGCGTATTTTTGGTAAAATAATATTGATCAGTCCCATTCACTGAAAACAGATCAATATCATTACTTAATCGATTGGTAGGCTATAAGTAAATTGTGTAATCCCTCGAGTAACATACGAGCAGCTGATTGTCATTTACTAGAATACCAACTTTGAAGATTGTTAATTATAATCTGCAGTGCAATGTGGATGAAGTAGGCCTATGTATGTTATATAGGCCTATGCATATAGTATATATATATATATATGCCTATATGTATGTATGTATGTATATTACAAAATTCATGTTATAATGAATGTTGGTTCCATGCATGCCTTGGCAATACAAAACAAGTACGATTATACAAAGTAGAAACGCATACGTTGACATTATAGACATAAACATAATTTGATCGAATTATACGTATCTGTATGTATATTAAAAGTTTCGCTTGTTTTGATGCGCGGTTGAATTGATTGTTCAATATTATACACATTTTATTGAAAATTAAATAAAGTTCAACATGAGAAAAGTTAAAAATACATATAATAGGTCTATAAGCCTATATTATATAGATCATCTATTAGGCCTAGGCATATATACACACCTAGGTATATTTAATGCGATTACTTTTTTTCGCACAAAGCTACCGTTTCGGGAGCACCTGCTCTTTAATGGTTGCAATTGAAAACTATTGAATTTTTCGAGAGTTTTAACCCTGAAAAGGAAAGGTGCAAACAATTTTGTATCTGCGTAATATATATAAATGTACATGCCTATATAATAGGTAATGATAGAAGTTATGATCGTTGATGATAGATTAGATTCAATTTGAATTTTGAGTCAGTAAGGCCTGTCCGTACCAGTTCGATGACGCAGTGACTTTAAATGACACCGAGTTCAAACGACTGTCATTGTTAAGTCACAATTATGTACCCTTTTGTAAAAAAAAAAAAAGCACGAGCACTTATGTGAGTCGTACCTAATTATAATCCTAATTGCAACTTCATTGTCATAGAGGCAAAGGACTCAATCAATGATAATTATTCCAGCTGTCAAACTATACAAGATATTGGGGGCGCTGATTATATAACTGGACTTTTTTGTTATCTTTGCCTATCTCAAAAACACACGCAGTTTAGAAATGCAAAACATGTCACACTACTGTTGCATATTGATTATTATATAGCCTGTAATAAATATTTCTGTCATCATTATCTTTAGCTAGTTTTATACTGTTTTTTAGCCTAGGTTTGTTACTTTTATTTCAGTTGATTGTTGTTATAATTATTAGGCCTATCCTTATTATCCTATCGACAAAGCCTCAAACCATGCAACACCATAAAAGCCTACACTTACCATATTTAAACTGTACCTACTGTGCAGCGTGTGCTCAAAAAGATTATCATCATCATCATCATCATAATCATAATCACCAATTCGTTGTAGGCCTATCTGTCATCGTTGTCGACATCTTCATCACCATCACGTCATCGTCTTTATCATCATCATTATCATTTACCCATACATTTTATTTCTACCCCTCCTGTTATATTCCTACACTTTTGGGTCCTTCGAGGTCGGCTTTAAATCATCATCATCATCATATCACTGTGTTCTCGTTAGGGTCCATTTATTTCTTCTTGTTTCCCTATTGCTGCGCATGAGACCATGCATTGTTATATGATGTACTATATGTCAAGCCATTAACCATTACTGTGGAATTAAATAGGCCTATCATAATTATGAAACGTAAGAATATAAGATATACCGGTACATGAAAATAAGAATTGTCTACTGAAAATAAATTAATATTATATATTGTTGGGAAAGTATTCATAACTATTAAGTAGTTTATTAGTATATTTTATATATAATATATATATATATATATA